AAAAGAAAAGACTCCACAAAGGGAGGTACAACATCGTATAGAGTGTATAAAAGGATAAGACAACGTCAACAAAGAAATTTAATGCGGCGATCTTTATAGTACCTTCTTCGTCGCGGTACACCACCAGTATCATTCCCAAATCGGTCCATTAACAATTTGTATTCACTCTCTAACAGGTGGTGTACCATTATAGAACTGTCTCGAACAGGCTCCACAGGGTAACCAACATGCACATCATGAAATGCACATTTCTTTTCAAACACAAACACAACATGTCGGTAATAACCAGATTTCCTAAGCACAACACCTACCATTACATCTTCCGATAAAATATCTAAAGATATGTATTGTGACTCAAGTTCCTTTTGAAATGGTACACTCAAAAGATCTCTGATTGGTGTATACGACACTATACGCCACGCAACATCCCTTGAAAGAGTATAACAGGGACCACCAGCAAATAAACCATTGGTTCGTTCTCCACCAAAACCATGTATCTTTCCAAACTTTCCCCAATATACATTCATGACAGGAAGCACACGAAGGTCTGTTAAAAACTGCGGTACACGAAGAAACATGTCATCATCACCCTTGGCAATGTATTTCACAGAAGGAAACAAGCGCAATGACATTTCAAGCCAAAAATATACTTTCCTGCTCAAACCAACCTCAGCTTCTAAACCCCACTTACCACTATCACCTATGGACTTGTTAGTAGTAACACGCCCTTCATTCATTGAGAGTGTAATCACATCATGATACTCTGCCACTTCCTTCAGTAGTGACTCAGAATACCTATAGCTAAGAAAAGGCTGCCGTGCAAGTACATACAACACCAACATGGACCCAGTGAAGTTATTCGCCCTCCGTGCAACACCAGGGAACTGCCAGCACGTAGTCCGCTGCAGATAACGGCGTCTCCGCCTTCCATCAATGTCCACAGATGGGATGCCAAACACAATGAGATAGTCCCTCTCCTTCCATGTCTGTATGGTGCTGTGTGGAATGTAGCGCAGAGACTCATCAAGGGAAGATGTGTTCTCAGGCAAGGGAACAGGTGTACTGTTGTGAACTCTGTGTAGTTTCACAGTGCGTTTAATAATGAAGTCCATAAAAGGAGTGACGCCACTAGTGTACATTATTGCCACAATGAAGAGAAACAGAGAAAAGCACATGGCGAACGCAAATATTATGCCTGGATTTGACAACCCTATTCGTTTCATGGCAGCTCTGCTTCCTAATTGGTAGGCTACACTAAGGAAGAAAAGGTGAATGTTTCGTTGGTATTAAATGATTATTATATGGAGAAGCCCAGTAGCAGAAGAAGACGAAGAGGAATACAGTCAACCCGTGCCGAGTGGAAATTCTCCTTCTGTACCAAATTAGTTTTGGGGCCACTGTTTTGCATATCACAAACATTCTCCAGAAAAGTAGAACAATCAAAACCAGAATAATCAGAAACAAAAAACAATAGAAAAGAATATTCGTAATGTAATTTATCCACCAATGCAACATAATCCGAATATGCAGTGCAATATTAGAGAAGCCAAAAGGTAATTTCCATAAAATAATATCCTCTTTCTCTATGCAGACATATACTACAGAAATGGGACACGGCAGAGCCATTAGAAAGATCGGTAACCAAAGAGAAGATCAAACCCATCAAAATCCACGCCTTAATAGACTCTCTCTGTACACAACATGTACATTTGGTCAAGGGAAAAAAATAGAAGAAGCCAAAAACTATTAGAACCACCGCAATTCAACTCGGTGGCCGTGAACACATTTTCTCACTTCGTAGAGTAACATGTCGTTTGTCCATGAAACGTCTCATCAACTTAGCAGAATAATAACTCTCCTCCAGATGGTGTACCATAATAGATAAAGAAAGTTAACTTACCCACACGACCACCCTTTTGAATATCATGAAAAGCAACGTCGTCCCTCCGTCAGAAAGAAAAGACTATCTTATCAATAATATGTTTAT